GCGCGACTGGGCGACGCGCGTCGGCCGCGGCCCGGTGCGGCGCGACATGCTGTTCGCCGGCACCTACCTCGCCTTGAGCGAACTCATCAGCCTGCCGCTGACCTTCTACCAGGGCTGGTGGCGCGAGCAGGCGTACGGCATGTCTACGCAGACCGTGCCGGCCTGGTTCGGCGAGTGGCTGATGTCGGCGGGCATGTCGCTGGTCGTCGGCGCGATCGTGCTGGGCGGGCTGTACGCACTCATGCGCCGCGCGGGAGCGCGCTGGTGGATCTGGGGCACCGCTGGCGGCATGGCGCTGACCACGCTCATGGTGGCGATCAGCCCGATCTTCATCGAGCCGCTGTTCAACACCTACAAGCCGGTGGAGGACGGCCCGCTCAAGCGCGCCGTGCTGCAGATGGCCCACGCGGTCAGCGTGCCGGCCAACGATGTCTACGTGTTCGACGCCTCGCGGCAGACCACCCGCATCAGCGCGAATGTGTCGGGGCTGTTCGGCACGGCCGCGGTCCGGCTGAACGACAACCTGCTGCGGCGCACGTCCGAGCCGGAGGTGCGCGCCGTCATGGGCCACGAGCTGGGCCACTACGTGATGAACCACATCCCGAAGATGCTGATCATGCTGTCACTGGTGCTGCTGATCGGCTTCTTCGTGGCGCAGGCCGTGCTGAGCCGCCTGCTGGCCCGGTTCGCGCCGGCCACGAGCGTGCAGCGCGTTGACGACGTGGCAAGCCTGCCGATGCTGATGGCGGTGTTCTCGCTGTTCTTCACGCTGGTCACGCCGGTCATGAACACCATCACCCGCGTGCAGGAGACTGAGGCCGACCGCTTCGGCCTGGCCCTGTCGCGGGAGCCGCATGGCTTTGCCGAGGCGCAGCTGCGTCTGGTCGAGTACCGCAAGGCCGATCCGGGGCCGCTGGAGGAAGTCGTCTTCTTCCATCACCCCGGCACGCGCAACCGCATCCTCGACGCCATGCGCTATCGCGAGGCGATGAACCTGCCCTGAGACTCCCATGCCCGACCACGACTTCGCTGCCCTGACGGCCAACACGCAGGAGGACTGGACGCTGTTCGCCGTCCGCTTCCACGACCGCCCCGGCGCCGGCGAATTGCGCCGCCAGCTGCTGCAAGCGCATCTCGAGTGGGTGGCCGCGCACCAGGCCGAGGTGCGCGTGGCCGGCTCGCTGCGCGACAGCCCCGACGGCACGCCGGTCGGCGGCCTGTGGGTGGTGCGCGCTCGCGACAAGGCCACCGTCGAGGCCCTCATCGCGACCGACCCCTTCACCACCGGCGGCCTGCGCGCGGGTTGGGACATCCACTACTGGAGCAAGGCCCTGCCGCAGCCGGTGTCCTTCTAGACTGCGGGGCATGAAACCCGCGCTCCCCCTGCTTTCACGCCGCGCCCTGCTGGCCGTCGGCGCCCTCGGATTCAGCCGGCCCCTGTTCGCCGCCGAGGCGCGACCCGATGTCGCGGTGTTCACCGCCCGGCTCGACCTGCTGGCCCGCCGTGTGAGCGATGTCGAGAACATCACGCCGGGCAAGGGCGCCAACTTCCAGCCCTCCTTCACCCGCGACGGCGCGGCGGTGCTGTTCGCGTCGGACCGCAGCGGCTCCAACAACGTCTGGCGCCACGACCTCGCCAGCGGCAAGACCACGGCTGTCACGAACACGCCGCACAACCTCTACTCGCCCACGCCGCTGCCGGATGGCAGTGGCTTCTCGGCCATCCGCGTCGTGGACGCCGACCCGGCCTACGGCATCGAGAGCAAGCAGCCGTCGCTGTGGCGCTTCGGCTGGGACGGCGAGGCCATCGCCCCGGTCGTGCCGGTCATGCGCGTGGGCTACCACGCCTGGGTGGACGAGCAGCGACTGGCGCTGTTCATCGTCGACGACGTGCCGGAACGCAATGCGCACCGCGCCGTGCTGTTCAACCGCGCCACCGGCAAGAGCACGCCGCTGACCGACAAGCCCGGCCGCTCGCTCGGCCGCTCGCCGGACGGCCAGCGGGCGCTCTTCGTGGACCAGACCGATCCCGAGCATTGGCGACTGTGCGCGCAGGGCGAGGGCGAAACCTCCGCCCGCGTCCTCGTGGAGACGCCGGCCGGCCCCGCGGGCGCCAAGGACACCAACCGGCCCCAGTACTTCGCCGCCCTGCCCGACGGCTCCGTGCTGATGGCCCGCGGCATCCTGCTGCTGCGCTGGGACGGCCAGCCCGGCAGC